ATAATTTTATACTTCCATGGTCTGATTAAAGGTGTCGTCTTATCAAGTAAGACAAATAATATAGCGTGTATAATTTTATACCCCCATGGTCTGATTAAAGGTGTCGTCTTATCAAGTAAGACAAATAATATAGTGTGTATAATTTTATACTTCCATGGTCTGATTAAAGGTGTCGTCTTATCAAGTAAGACAAATAATATAGTGTGTATAATTTTCTACTTCCATGGTCTGATTAAAGGTGTCGTCTTATCAAGTAAGACAAATAATATAGCGTGTATAATTTTATACTTCCATGGTCTGATTAAAGGTGTCGTCTTATCAAGTAAGACAAATAACATTGCATGTGCATTTTTTTCTTTTGTAGTTAAGCCCAAAGTTATACAATCTATTATTTTATGTTTATAAATCTGACACATTTACTATTTATCTTTAAAGAATATATATCGCTGTGCCACTAGGGGGCATGTGTATAAATAAGCACAGATGGAAAAAACAACAAAAAACTGTGTCATGGCCTAGCGATTAGTGTGCTAGGTTACAGAATGTCCAAGGTTCGAGCTCGCGTAACCCCCGCTGAACACGCCCCGTGCTATTCGATTAGAAGTAATCAAGTAGGCGGTGAGCGCTGATGACTAGTTGTCCTCCCTGTGCACTGACTTTCAATTATAAAAAGCTATGCCTAAACCCCTGGGTTTCCGCCATTTAGTCCATACATCGCATACAATGAAAATATCAAATCAAAGAAGTAACAATTGATATTTTCAAGCACCAATTCAAAGAACAACAGAAGGACCACATTTCTACATTGAAGTTTCACACAGGTCTGTTTTTGATGCATTATTTTTTTGTTAGTCCACTACAGGTTTCAAATTCTATGTTTTACAAGCCACAAGTCATTTTAGATGAATATTTTCTCCAAACAGAAGCCGTATCACAGACAAGAGTGACAGTAAGAGGGATGTTTAAAAAAAATAATAACAATTCTACAGTAAAATATGATTTTTATAACAAATATTGAGCCTTGTAGTTATCATTGCTTCACCACGTTAAGTGTTTTCCACCATCATTTCGAACATCAATGGGAGACGTGATTTGGCGAATAAGAACTTCAGATTCTCCTGATTCTAGAATTAATATGAGTTTCATCCACCATCAATTACCTCGAGCTAGAGGATGTAAGGTTACCTCCTCTCTCTTTAGCCCAAGTGGAAGTCGATAAAACAAAAACACATATCAATAGTTATATTGACACTGGTGGTGGAAGTCGATAAAACGAAAACACATATCAGTAGTTTATATTGGCACTCTGGTGGTGGAAGTCGATAAAACGAAAACATATATCAGTAGTTATATTGGCACTCTGGTGGTGGAAGTCGATAACACAAAAACACATAAAAGTAGTTTCTATTGGCACTCTGGTGGTGGAAGTCAATCATGGTTTAATTCCCGTCACTGCCCGAGGGCATAAGGGGAGTGGGGTGGAACAGTTAATTAACCATAACAACAATAATAGTATAGTTATAGATTAAAGAAATAACAGATAATTACAGGACGTGACACCAATAGTTGGAGATAATTGAAGTTTAAAAAGGCCATGACGTCAATTATTGACAATGAGTTTAGGCTTACATGAATCAATCGTATCTTATTATAGAATGTAATTTCAGATTCTTAGGACGTGACACCAATTATTGACACGTCATGGGCTTTTAAAACTATAATTATTTCTAATTATTGTCAATAATTGGCGTCACGTCCCGTGATTATCTGTTATTTCTTTATTCTATAATTATACTATAGTTGGCTGTTATGGTTAATTAACTGTTCCACGTATTCAAACTACACTTGTATTTTAATGTTCTTAGTTTTATTATTATCATTTTATAACTTTGTTTTTTGTTTAGGGGCGATATATAAAAATATCGATAAAGTTGATCTTGGACAAGTTTACACAGTTTATTTGCCCCCCCCCCCCAATGACACAGCGGTATGTCTGCGGACTTACAACGCTAGAAACTGGGTTTCGATACCCATGGTGGCTAGAGCACAGATAGCCCACTGTGTAGCTTTGTGTTTAACTTCAAACAAACAAAATACAGTTTATGGTTGCACATGATGGGGGAAGAAGTACACGTGAAGCCATCTGTTGCAGATCGCTAGAGTACGCCATACTCCACCATATTCCATGTGAGTCTTGGCTAAGTTGCAGAAACATTGGTAGAAGACTGATTAGAAATAAATACCGTCTGCCCTAAATTTTTGTCTCAGTGCCTATTTAAATACATTTATGACTAAAAATTATAAGTGCAGTAAAATACAAAACTCTACCGTTAGAGGGCAGTGTTGTTAATCAGTGTAAATGAAAATATTGTTAATCGATTAGATTAATAAAAACGTAGACCTGCTAACTATATTTATCATATGCTAGGTTTATCAAAACTGTCGTCGTCTTTCTACTTTATTTATAACAATTACAAGAACTGATCAACTAAAAAGTATGAATAATTTAGTGTAAAAATATGTCAATATATATATATATATCTAAGAATTAACGTATTTTAGGTTTAACAAGAAATAGTAAATATTTTCTCTATAAAGTAAATATTACTTAACTAAAAACCTGTATTAACATATACAATAATCAAAATACGTTAAAAGTGTTTTAGTAAAAACATTAATATATAAATAATGCAAATACTATCAGTTTTTTTGTGCTTAGTTTTGATACTAGATGGCGAGCCTTTACTGTAAATTTTGTATATTGTCGAAGCAATGCTAGAATTGTTATAAACATTGTTGTAAAAGAATACCAGAAACGACAGTCGAATGTTTAATTGTTAATTAGGGATGTTGTTGGAGATTTAATAACTTTTATTTATTGCTGTTCTTAGTAAAAGTTGGTAATTCAAGACTATATTAGAGGCAGTGTTATCACGTTATTTGTCACCATCAGTTCCAGTCTACAGGATTTTATTGAAACATATTAGTTTTAATCATTACTTCCAGACGATGCAGTGTTAATGGTAACTTAGGCCTAAGAAAGAGGAAGCGTCATTACATTAGTTTTCTCAATTAGTTACAATCGATACGGTTTTATTCGTAGCTTACGGCTATGTTAGTGGCATCGTTTTCATATTAGGCTTCATCTTTAGTCTGTGTCCATATGTGGTGTTATTGTTAACTGAAAGTTATGTTATTGGCAGCTTTATGACATTAGTTGTCAATTAGTTACAGTCGATAAGGTGTTATTGGTAACTTAAGCCTTGTTAGTGGTTACTTTATTACATTAGTGGTCTCCTTAGTTCCAGCCTATACACTTGTTGCGTCAGCGAGGTCACGTGACTAGTATCACGCCACGTTTTCTAGAAATATTCTGTTACTTCAAGAATGCCCTAGCATTTACTAGACATGTGTTAGTCTTGTATATATGAGACGTTCACAACGTGACGGGACAACAAGTGAATGAGTAATTGAATGTATGCGGACAAAATATTGTTGGCCACGTGAGACGTGAATTATAGTGTTTGTTATAGAGCGACTGTTGAAATTAAGTGTATCGTAAAGTTGTATTCGGAAAGAATAAACCAGTTTTATTTAAGAAAGGATTTGTGTCGCTAAAGTTTCGTCGGAACGAATTTACGGAAAATTAACTAACAAACGGAGACGTAACACACTGCTATTAGTATGTTGATGGCATAGTTATCACATTAGGTTTAGTCAATACGGTTATTGAGAGCTATGTTTTTGGCAATGTTATGACATTAGTTGTCTACATTAGTTCCAATAGATATGTTATTGGTAACTTAGGGCTATGTAAGAAGGAATTATCACATTATTTTTCGCCACTAGTTCCAGTCGTTAGGGTATTATTGATAACTTATAGTTTTGTTAATGTTAGCGTTAAAACCATATGGTTACAGGTCATCTTTCTGCGCATTTTATGAGGTTTTATTGATTTGCATTCCAAAATTAATTGAGCAACTTTATTATCAATGCAAGTCAATGAAATTTACATATAATGTAATTTATAACCCAACGTTTTATATTATCCATGTTTTAATTCCTTTACTTCAAAAAAAAAGGGGTCCCAGATTATTTCTTTGCACTCAGCTCTACTTATTTGTGTAAATGTTTATAGCCAATAAAAATAACTCATTTTAAACTACACTCTCCTAATGGTTATTTTTAAATTGTCAGCAGCATTCCTTATAAAGTACGTCAAACCATTCTTAGCATCGTTGCCATTTATGTTCTCACTAGCACTTAGTGTTGGTTTTCACCTAGAAAAATATTAGTTAGATAGAGAGTTAAATTGTATTTAGGTTTTACTTTTATATTTTAGTTAATTATGTTTTAAAATACACATTAGAAATGATTAATATTTTTCTAAAATATAACCAAAACTTTGCCTCAGTTCATGAAACTTAGTGTAGTATTTGTTTTTGAATTTCGCACAAAGCTACACGAGAGCTATCTGCGCTAGCCGTCCCTAATTTAGCAGTGTAAGACCAGAGGGAAGGCAGCTAGTCATCACCACCCACCGCCAACTCTTGGGCTACTCTTTTACCAACGAATAGTGGGATTGACCGTCACATTATAATGCCCCCACGGCTGAAAGGGCGAGCATGTTTGGTGGGACGTGGAAGCGAACCCGCGACCCGCAGATTGAGAGTCGAGCGTCCTAACCACCTGGCCATGCGGGCCACTTAGTGTAGTATGCGAGTGCAAATACACTTTGCCGAAGGCTAAAGTATTTCTGCCAAAGACACCTTAATATTGCCCGAGGACGCCCGTTGACGTGTGTCGCGGTAAATAACAACGCCAAAGGGCCGAAAAAGAAAATAAAGCATTAAAAATAAACTATATGTGGACATGTAAAGACATGCAATTAAGAATGTAGCCAACAGATCTTTTAAGATTATTCGACGAAAAATTAAAACGTATTAGGTTGTCAAGAAATTAATGTCGCGTTTTGGAACACTTTCATTAACCACCCCCCAAAAAACGTACA